TATTTTGTGTCTGATGTTACTCTGTTTTCGGCAAGAGCACAGTCGAAGCTCGGAGAGGGGCCTGAGAGAACGTTCATTCAAGCGAATGAAATGTTCACCACCGAACGGTGAACATTTTTTTGTTCCAAACGCTTGTTAAAAAAATGCAACGAAAAAAGTTATTTTCGAAATATAATGGTTTCTAAAGTATCTATGAAAATTATGGAAATTACGGGAATCATGAGAATTTTGCCAAGCTTTGCCATACAATTGTTTGTAAATAAACCAAATAAATCGAAAATCTTGGTGAACCTTATCTGAATTCTTCGAAATTCGAAAAAGCGGATATGATAATATATCATATCCGGTCGGTATACCGATTGAAACCGAATTATGACACCTCTCTACGATTATTACCAAATAGGGGGCGCAAAGTACGTAAGAAATAGAAGCATATTTTCAATATTATTCAAATAATTGTATGAAAAAGCTTTACGTCCAGCTCATTGTACAGGAGGATTTACCAAAGTTGATATAAAGTCTTTTGATAAGCGGGTAATTACTAAAGAAAAAATTCGAAAGTCTGCCGCTTCTCCAAACACAAAACTTACTCGTTCATTATGAATAGAATATTTGTTACCGGTACCAGCGGATAATACAAGCAATGATAATACTAAAGGATGATCCATAAGTTTTGGATCCTCTCTGTGAATTGACATTATCTGCATGAAATACATAAAATAAGATTCAGTTGTTTTTTGCAAAATTTTCCCGTTTAATTCTCTACAAAATGGTATATAGGAGATGATCCTGAAAGTTGAGATGTCGTCGTAATTGAACCGAAATTGAGATGTTCTAAAAGTTTCAATGCCCCAAAAACGAAGAATGTATTTCGTCAGTATAAGCTTGAATGTATGTGTTGTGCCAACATCGAATAGGCAAAAATGTAGCCCTTGAAATTCTCTATCGAATGGCTGTAATGCTAATTTTCTGTCGTTATTTCCGTGTTTTCAATAATTCTTTTTGCAAAACCCAAGCAAAACTAAGTAAGCGAGAAAATCTAGCTACAGTAGTAGCTGCAGCGCCCACTTACAGCTAGATTAACTAGATTAAAAGGTACATTTCTCTAGCTGCATGCTGGTTGCAGCTAGCTGAAGCTAGATAAATGTACCTTTTAATCTAGATGCAGCGCCCGCTTCATGATTTCTTTTCGTGTTTGGGAAGCCCAGTGAATGTTTTTTCAATTTTTTCGATCTGCATTTTGGAACTGTTTCTAAAATGAACGGTGCTCACTCACAAATCGATGAATCAGGCTCATTCTTGTGTCTTTTTGAAGAGAAATGCTACCTCTATTTGATTCACATACGTAATGTCTGATGTCACTGTCCTCAAAACAATCGAATGCCGCAATCAAAGGGTCATCAATAAGTTTCTGGCCCTCTGGAAACAAAATGCCTTTCTTTCTTAATGCTAATCTAGTAGCACAAACATTTAACATTTAATCTCTTACAACTAGATGATTATTACTGTAGATTTTTATATCTCTAGCTCTATTAGTAAGGAAGATATATAAACAACACATATAAAGAAAACCCGGTTTTTCGTTTCTTAGAACATTGAAAGTTTTGGGACATTTCGATTTTGGTTCAATTACGACGGCATCTCAGCTCTCAGGATCATCTCCTATATACCATTTTGTAGAGAATTAAATGCGGAAACTTTTGCAAAAAACAACTGAATCTTATTATATGTATTCATGTAGATAATGTCAATTCACAGAGAGGATCCAAAACTTATGGATCACCCTGTAGTAATGACCCTGTCGCAATTAAGCCCAGAGTTGGAACCGGATCGGAAAATCGGTATCTGGTCGGCCGTAAACGGCAACGTTTGTTGCAAGGCCGATTTCTCCATGAGAGCGTGGAGAGAGAAAATTTCACCGTTATTTTCATACATCTTCTACACTTCGTCTGAAAAAACAGTTGATGAAAAAGTCGTAAAAAATACAAGAGCAGAAAAAAAACTTTTTGAATAATATCTTGTTCTATGCATCATCTTGCTATCCTGCTGTATAGCCTATATTTATAACAGAAAGAAACAAAAAATGTTTTTGATTCTTTTTTTTGTTGCTAAAAAGAAAACACGGACATGTATTAAAAAAAGGGAAGTGATTATACTGACTCAATAGCACATTAAAAAAGGTTACCTTGAATACCTTTGTACAGGGATTTGTAAAAACAGATATTTAATAGCTTTTCAGACGGCGCGATGACAATAATATATGTATTATATGATTCTGATTGTGCTGATATGGCAATACCCGAGTGGATCTCACCGACTAACATAGCAACAGTTTTTACAATTGAAGACCTGTGCGAAAAACTAGATGATAATGCTAATGATACAATATTTGTTGTTATATATACATCAAGATTTGTTATGAATATTGAAAACTTAAAATTTTCCGATAACATTTCCTATTATCTCTATTGTGAAGAAGCAACTCAAATTGTACAAACACACGATTGTTTACAATTAGAACTAAACCTAGTCCAACGAGGCCGTGTAAAATCGATTTATAATTATTCATCCGTTTGTTTACAATTGGGCTACGACATAGCCATGTACTATATGAACCAGGGACATAAATATCGTCGTTTGAACAAGTATGAACGAGCAAATCACGAATATAACGAAGCTGAAAAAGTTTATAACTTAATTAATAGATATTTAGTTAGCAATATACAAGCTGATACTAGCACAATAATCAATTCAACAAAAATCCCGGCTGCTATCAAGAGTAATCCACAGTTACCAACGTGGAAAGAAAGAAACTGATATCCATTTTTTGATTGAACAAAACCGATTTATTTTAAGAATACTAATGTTGTCGAACAATGTATGATAAACGCTTGACTGGAAATCTCAAATTTTTCATTATGTTTTCGAGAATTTTCATGTTAATATTGATGCTGCTTTTCAAGCCTTTTTTTATTAGTACTTTCATTTCAAAATACAATGGCTACGTGAATATTTTTCTGAATAACTTTTAAACGAAAATAGATACAGAAAGGCGAGTTTTCACTGCTGTGTAGTCGAGACTTCCCTTCTAATCATTGACGGACAGTTGAAAAACTAGGGTTTTAAGTAATGTACTTTATTTGTCTCTAGGTATGAAGTTCCAATCGATATCTTTTATGCATTTTATTAAAACTAAAGCTGGTGTTCCCAGTGGGATTCACAAAAGAATAAGCTAGAAAGAGCCTTTCGAAGGACAGGATAAAAGAAAGTTTGTTCTTCTTTCGGTCCACAGTCGTCAAGATGCGTGGAACGTCTCGTTTTGTAGAGGAGAATATGGTCTTTAATAAAGAGTCACGTCCAAACGTTCAATTTATGCGATAAAAAATTTCAATACTATTCTTTAATAATCTAAATTTGATTTTACAATCAATTAAATTTGTTGACTTAAATATCTTTTTCGAAAATTCTAGTAACTATACAGACTCGAATTGCGTCATTGATTTTCATGTTTGGATGAAATCTTTTTTTGATTTTTTGATTTGATTGAACGCAGAAAATTGCGAATATAATCTTTTCTGCGGTTGTAGAGCAAAATTTTATTATCAAATTCCTCTCTGTACTCAAAATATAAATATAGGTAATAAATATTATTAACTGTAATGGGTACTTTACCTGACAAGTTTATTCTTCTTCTTTCACAAGCAACACAAACGACATAGAATGTTTTTCCTTCGTAGTTCTTAACATTCGTCTTTTATTACAAAAAAACCGTACACCTTGTGCACAAAAAAACAGAACGAATCAAAAACAAAGAGCATCGTTAGCTTTTCTTTCTCTTTCACAAATTATTCTTCATGAAAAAGAATATAAGAGAAACTAAGGCTAATATTAAAAACAAGCAAGAAAGCAGCTCAGCAAACAACTTCGGTGTAACAATCTCGCTATCAACCCTGTTTAAAAACGGGCACGATCTAGCGATATTCATAGCTAAAGAATTTTCGTAACATCTACAAATAAACGCAGAAGCAGAGTCGGCGAGGTTTTCGAAGTCCGGAAAAAATGTATCAGTTCCTACGCTGTCTGGGTTCAGATTCGAACTCACCTATCTATGGGCTAGAATATAAAATCTCCCCGACTTTGCCAACTAAATCCGCTTAGCTTAGAGTTAAATTAAAAACTTTTCCTGGAGCAAGTACCTCAGAATGTGGGGTGTCAAAAAAATTTCTTTTTCAATATTCCATGGGAAACACACAGCGTGATTTAGACTTTACTCGGCCGAAATATTTAAAAGTTAACAGAATCCTTTCGAAAGTACAGATGAAAAACATTCTGACTTTTCCATTGTTACTAGTACATAAACGTTTACTCCTTTTCTAGTTTCAAAAATTACGCACGCGTAAAAGAATGAGATCACAGATTTCTAATTCTCAGGTTCAACACCTAAATTAAGTTGAACATTGTGAAGAAACGGTTGAATTGCTGTCTGTGGTCGTATGTTAACTGCAATTTTATCATATTCTCTGGATAATAGCAGAAAAGTGTCATTATTGTTTAGTTCAGCTGCGGTACGAAATTGGTCTGCTTCTTCACTACAATATGCAGCCATATTGTGTCGTGCAGCATGAACTATTTCCTCTATTGATGGGTATGGAAGAAACGGTTGAATTGCTGTCTCTGAATAGCGAAAAGTCAACAGCTACACGTTGTACGCAGAAAATTGCAAATATAATCTTTTCTGCGGTTGTAGAACAAAATTTTATTATCAAGCTCTGTACTCAAAATATAAATATAGGTAATAAATATTATTAACTGTAATGGGTACTTTACCTGACAAGTTTATTATTCTTCTTTCACAAGCAACACAAACAACAGAAATTGTTTTTCGTTCGTAAAGTATCCAGATTCAATTTATTCTAATATTCTAATCTATCTATTGTTATATTGAATTCATCTACTAAGAAGAACTTTCTCTAGGCAAGGTCGATGCTTTTGAAAGAAAAATGAGTATTTTCATGAGGTCTGGCTTCTCTTTTTGATCCTACAGGCTTTTCGCTATTCACGGCGTAGAATATATATTCTATAGGCATTGGTTTAAGGTTGTTGAGAAGGTTTCTGAAAAGTCTCAAAGGATCACTGTTCTGCTGGACCACTTTTTCGGTGTGCTCAACGATATGTGACACTTTGTCAGTCTTTCCTGAAAATTTGCTTCAGTCGGCATGACATTTGATCGAGATATAAGGATTTTAATTTTTGCTAGTAACAGACGACAAAACCGATTTTTTCGAAAAATGCGTCTGGCGAAGTTATAGTTTGCACATAATCACAAATGTTGCCACTTGCTCAGCGTAGTCGATTATCTATATTCCATGGTATTTCGAGATTCCCAGAGGTTTATGCTCGGAGGTAGACACGTGCTCGGGGAAAGCGAGCCCCGTTCGAACGACGATAGCAGGAGAACCGGGAGTAACGTCCGGACTATCTACGCATGTAAAAAATTGCTAATATTGCATGTTAGTTGTCTAAGAACGGAGCTGGTTTTACAAGGATCCAGCTGGAAAACTCTTCAAGATCCAGCAAAAAGGTTTTTCTGCTATAGTTCGATGTGCCCGAGACTTGGCTACAAACTGACGAAAACTGTTTCTCGATGTCTCTTTGCGTTTCCGAGTTATTTGGAGAGGCGCATAGTACCTTATATTTTGATTCCGATAGTAGCAGGCTTTGCCATTTTCGGTAGTGCAAACGAAGGGTTTAGGCCGCTTGCGTTTATGTCAAGCCCGAAACAAGTCTTCTAGGCCCATTTCATACGAGGAATCCGAATATCACGTCGAAAAGTCCATAAACTGAAAAGCAAAATTTTTGATAGTTTGCCAATATTTTCCATTTTTCTCTGTCAAAGCCGTTTCTCTTCCGTCAAAACTTAAATAACGCCAGATTCTGAATCAGCAGCTTACGACGAATCCGAATATGTGTATTTAAACGAAAATTAAAAGGTGCTCGAACTTTGAATTACCGTCGCCGTACTATCCTGTTAGAAATGTGTTTATTCCTTCTCCTTTTCTGTATCTGGATTGGAAAAAGTTAATCGTCCAAATGACGCTCCAAAGAAGACATTATATTTGAAAGAAGAAAGCAAGAAAAAATTTAAATAATAAGGTAGTTAATGGAAAAGAACAAAT